CTTATACATCTGCTTATATTAGTAACCTATATACATGAGTAGCTTCTATATATTTACTAACTATATATAAGCACTACCTTATTGGAAGACCATGCGATTCCTTTTTAATTTTTCCCAGACCATTTTTATTAAGAGTAGTCTAGTTATCAGGCCATCGAATTTTCTTTATCCTGGATCCAGATTTTGATCCTTCGAAGTGGCCTACGAATTTCTCCTTCCACCAAGGCCTCCCAATTGTTGAGTCTATGGGTCAAGACATAGACACATGCTTGAAGTCTTGAAATCAGATAAGATCTTCAGTTAATCCTTCCTTAACGGCATGCAACCAGTTTAGGGATCTACTCTTCTTGTTACTAGCAAGTGATAATGAGGTTCTATCAGGGATAATCCTACTCGATTTCGAATAGTGACCTGATCACAATCTTTGTATAGACCATCCCGTGTTACAGAGATCTTGATTTTTGGCAAGAACCAATGAAAACTGCCAATTCTCTTGATCTGCACCAGCTATACTCAGAAACATCGGTTATATACAATTAGGTCAATGAATGATTTGCCAGATTCTACCTGCTTTTTATAATCAGGGGAATCACATTAGCTCCTTGGAGGATTTGAACCTACATCTTGTGATCTGACCTATGGAGTGCTAACCACTGCACTACAGACCCGTAGATCAGAGTTTTTTATTATTATTTATATACTGTAAACAATATCATATATCTTTTTTTTTCATAAATCTGAATTCACTATATATTGATTTATAAAATTAATTATCAGTCAATTATTTCACTAATTATCAAATTATTAAAATTAAACTACTGTATATAAAAAAGAGAACCCAGAAATAAAAAAAAAGATAATAAAAATATATTTGCAGTATTATATTTTTAGATAAATTGTTTTTAATTAAACAAACATTTTAAAATATTAAAATACTACATAAAAACGTTATTAAATTATAAAATAAATAAAAAATTGATTTATACTGTGTTTCTATATTATTCTTTTTATTCTTTTTATACAGTATAATGAAAACCGAATCGCTGAAACTAAATAGAACCTATCAGTTTGTAAAATTTCAAAACCAATTTATTTTATAAACCAAATTAATATTAATATATGCCCTTTCAACGCAGAATTGATCCAAAAATGAAATCAGAGCTATTTAAAGGATTTGTTGCCAACACTTTGTCTACTATACTTTGATGTTTGCATTTAAGAAGAATTAATCGTAATTTATACAATAATGTCTTTTAGTCCTTTTTATTAAACTACGATGTATTTGTACATGTTCATCTTTTTCGACAATGACTATTCTTTTAATTCGAAGATTTTAATCCTTTTGGTTAACTCATGGTGCGTTAGTCGAAAAAAAAAAATAATAATAATAAAGAAATAAAAGTCAACCGGAGAGTTTATTTTTTTTAATCTGTAGCCTTTTCAAAGGGCCGATTAGGTAAAAGTTGTCGTAAATGTATGTCTATTCTCTCTTTTTTCCGTGGTAGATGTGGTTTAACCACTCTTCAACGCCAATCGCTTGGTAATGTGACCGAGGAGAGGAGAAAAGGTGATATACATGATGTCCGCCCTAGAATTTGACAATCGAGTGACGCAAATATTAATAGGAGCGAGGGTTTAATCAACATCACACAAGCCTTCTCTTTAAGAAATCGATGAGTAGGTGCAAAAAAACCAATACCGGAATAGGAATAAATTGAATTTCAGATTTGGACACTGTAACATTAAAAGTGATTAGAGATGGCAAAGTTCGATTTAAACAAAATCCAAGGATTGAATAAATTATATTTATTACCTTTTTTGAATTCTTCAACAAAATGACTGGAAGTTCCGATCGGTATGAAGGTATCTCGATCTCCACTGGTAAATAACAGCATGTAATAAACCAATACGAAGGTATATGACCGCCAAAGCATTAAATATTATCAAAAACTTACTGAAATACCAAAAATGGAACCGAGTCCTCTTTAATAAGGTGCAATGGTGAATGTTCCTTTAAAAATGATTCATCTTTTTTTTGCAATCCAGCGACATTCTTACAGAAGTCATCGATAGACATCGCATCCCATAGATTTTTTTCGTCCACAAGATCAGTAATAGCATTGATCAAAACACATGCATTCACCGAGGTGTCGACGGACTCAAAGTTTGGCTGATATTTGCGATTATTGGGTGTGAGAGCAACCACGGCAGCAATTTGTCCGCCAGCGTCATCGCCTTATAATATAAGTAGAGGACGTGTGAATTCATAGACTTCTTGATCAATTTCGATAAAAATGAGATAATAATTTACCAGCAACAGCAACAAATTGTGGATCGCCGCCAAACGCCGCGATGTTTGTTTTTATCCATCGTAACGCCCTCTTTATGTCAATTAATTGATTAGGATACACGGAAATAGGTGCAAGTCGATAATTTGCAGATACCACAACCTAAAGAATCGAACGCAATGCCTATGATTGCTTATTCTTCGAATGTTCGTTTGAGTAAAAGATAAAAATCAAGAACAAAAAAAAAAAATTCACATACCCAGCCACTCTCAGCCATATGACGTATTAGCGGGTATGGAGAGCCTTTATCACCTCTCTTCCATTCACCACCGTGGATAAACAACTGATGATCAAATTAAATTAATAAGTTGACCTTTGTCTAATATAATCAATTGTAAATGAATGGCATTACCATTACTGGTTTTGGACTAGATGACGGCTTGCGAGCGTATACATCCAGCGACATAAAGTTGACCTGCTCAAATCCACTTTTCCTGGCCTCAGCTGCTTCCTCGTGAGTGGCGTAACTTACTAGGGAAAAATCGATGAATCAATGATTGGTTGAGAATGAATTTTAAAGAAAAAACATCGTTATCGTATTGCTCACTATCAGCATAAAGAATTACATCTCGAGGAACGAAGTGCGGATTGACCATGCGTTGCCAAAATGTTTCGCTGAGGAATTCGTGTTGGACAGAGTGAAAAATTTGGCATCATTTATTGTCGTTAACTGAATGATCAAGCCTTAAATACATGAGTTCTCATTTTAGAATCGCGTTACCTCTTAAATGTTGGCAGTTCTTTGTTTCCCGCGTATGATTGAATTGCTTGTTCGATAGCACGTCTTGCTTCATAGGCATCAACAAAAATAACTACGAGTCTAATTGAACATCGTTAAGTCGACCGATGAACTAACCAAATGACTATTTTCCTTAATAACATACCCGATCATAGTAAGAAGGTCAATTACGTAAAATAGTTGGGGGATAATGCCCTCTGTAAAATTCAAACGTGATAATAAATTTACCTGATGAGGCATTGAATGATTTTTAGGAGAAAACAGACGGAACAAATTAATGATAAATTTACTGAATACTCCAAGCATTGATGCAACAATAATGAAGGCAATCTTGAGAACTATAATAGGTAACGGCCATTCTGAAATCAAAGAAAAGCCAAAAACTGTCAAGTATTGCAATTTGTATATCTTTGGTAGCCGGCCCTCAACACTAGCATATGTTAGACCGGCAATGAGGAGGACGAACGTGTAGTAAATAATTCCAAAACTCATTATTGACGACAATGATGAAAAAATTAACTATAAATTAAGTATGCGTATTTAAATTAAATGATTGGCAAATTTTTTATTTTTCATCTAATTGATTTATGATCTTTTCTGAAATTAGATGTCAGGGTTTTCTGTAAATTTCCGCGAAATTAGCCAGTGCAATTTTCGAAGTTTCGCTTGCATCGATCCAGCTTTCTTGTTATTTTTACAATGTTTTTTTTTTTTTTTTTTTCTGATTAATTTGAAGTTCCGTTTGCAAGTTTAACCTCTCGGAAATTATATATGGTGAACGTATTGCATTTTGGGTAATTGATACACTCATTTGACTTCACGTGGGTAAATCTAAATAAAATCTTTAAAATATCGAAATACACATAGGACTAATCTCAGCTGACCCGATTAACGTGATTATCGGGTATTTTTTTTTAGTAATCCGCATCGACCTTAAGTTTCAGGATCATCTCCCCTTCATTGTCTAATCCGTTGGTGTCCTCTAACACTGTTTCCGTTACTTCGAGCCAATTGAGCGTAGCTATCGCAGTTTGTAGATGATGTCGTTTTTTTTGTTCCGGCGGAAATTCCTTATTAAAATGTGCAAAAAAAAAAAAAAAAAAAAAAGATATATTAAAAAAGGTTTCTTTTTTTCTCGGAATACCAGTTTTTGGATTCTTACCGCTCCCAAATCCTTGACAAATATCTCTTTTTGCTTTGATTCCAACAAGATTTCCACGAGTCTTGCGATCGTCCCACCAATATTATCGTTCGGATATAACAATCTGCATAACTTTTGCATCTTATCTATGCATTTACCTTTCTGTTCCAATTGACTTGCAATTTTTTTTCGAGTCTTCGCAAAATTAGAAATAGTACTTACTACATTTAACTCGAGATCATCCTATTGCCATCAATTGAATCTCACCTCTAATTTAGCGTTTTCCAATAGTTGCAAATAAGAGTCGCATAGGATTTCAAATTCAGTGGCAGCGCCATCTATCAATCATCGAAAGGTGAATTCAATATTTGTTGACCAAGGAATATCAGCGCGATTAACCGTACTTGGCCAATTAAATCTTGATTCGATCTGTTGTTCTGCTCGCTTTAGAAATTCGAATTGTGCTTGGATTTGCTTCCACTTGAAATCTTTTAAATTGAAATAAAGTCAGTAGTAATGTTTGGAAATTCGAGAAAATGACAAAATTCAGCCTAACCTTCATCTGTCACAGTTTCGTTGTCACGGGAGACCTCCATGATTGCATTTTGTTGGTCGTCCAGAATTTCTCTTTTCTCCCCAATTATCACATCCAAATCTTTGATTTGATCCTCAATGTTTTCTAAAACTTCATCATTCTTGGGCTTTACGGTTCTCTCAGAATTAACGCAGGCAACTGGTAAAACAATTTCCGAAAACAAACACAGAGTATACCTTGACTTTAGATTTTTTTGGTGTCTTTATCGCGGATGGTTTCTTTTCCGCGGCAATTCTTTGCTTTTGGAGTTGAAGTTCTTCAACCTGCATAAATTCCCCTCGTCTCTGAGTGATGCCATATGTCAATCGCTTGGCGCGGGAAAAGAAAAAAAAATAATTACCTTATGCTTGCATTCATCCTCCAATTCCCTGACCGATTTCGCCATTCTCTCCATCTTTTTTTTCATTTCTTTTAACTTCTTGGCATGCTCGTTATTGTGAGCCGCCTTCCGTTGACCACAGGTAGACGCCAATTGTTTTTCAGACGAGCCAGAATGATCGACCTTGTTACCTTGCTTTTGTGAAAATGTCTGTGTCCTTTTTAATTCCACGTCCAATTCAATTTCACGCCTATTGACCTGGATAAAACATATGATTGCTTGGTATGGAAAAACGAAATGTTGCGAGAAACAATATTTTCCACACCTCTTCCTGGAGAATATTTTCACGTTGCTCAAGTTCGGTCAACAATTCCTCTGCTTTGAGTAAGAGATGCTTGACACGTGGTTCGAGTTGGATTGCTACCGATCTTTGAGCTTCGCGAATCTCTGGTTCGGTGACCAGTTCAGATACCTACCAAAATGTCGTGGCAGATGTCTATTAAATTTCGAAAAGAAAAAAGTAACAATAATAGAAGAAAAAGAATACCCGTTGACAAGCAATCAATTTCCTTAAACGAGAGAAATTTCGCGTGCTATTCTCGATTTTCTTCACGGAAGCTTTAAGCTGAAATGAGGCAAAGTAGCGTAAGTCAGGTGAAAAGAAAGCAGCAGTATTATCGAGAGAGAGACGAGTATTACCAACGAGGAACTGTCCTGCAACCGTTGCACACACTGTTGAAGGTTTTGGACATATGTCGTAGGTATCAGAGGAGTATTATTGGTGGCTCTTCTTGGGGACATCTCCAGAGCAATGCTTGTCAACTGCTTGTGACCCAAGTGCTCGCGTCTTACGTCAAATTTGATAGCCAAATCGGGTATTTCCCAAATGTCGCCGCTCTTTAAATTATGCGATATACATACTGTATATACAGTAAATGCAGAACTCCGACTTTTTACGTGTTTTTAGGAATATACATTGGTCGGACGTAAACGAGCACTATGGAAAAACTTCAGAGCATGTTATTTCGCCCAAAGATTGCGGAAGCTGTGAGATGTTGTAAGATGTTTTTTACATGCCGAAAATTTACGTAGCCTGGTATTTTATTTTCACTCGACAATATATACTGGATTTCATAATAGCAAACTTTACAACCGCGGCTGACATATTACATCACAATGAGAGAGATCTCGCTAAAAAATTGAACCTTTCTGGTAGAGAAGTATCTGAACTTGTGAACACCATTGTGCGGGAAATGATTCCTTATCCGCCTAAAAATGCGTTGATGCTATTAAAAGATGGCACTCATCGCGCGTTGAGTACGGGTGACAAACAAATTGACAAAATTATTGGTGGAGGCATATTGTCAAAAGGGATTACAGAGATCGTGGGCGAGAGGTAATTGATTATCAGGGAAACGAATAATCCACATTATAAATTTCTGTTGACAACTGCTATGACATTGTATATTTATACGAATGAAGTTCAGTGGGCAAGACACAACTGTGCCTACAACTATGCTTGACCGTTCAACTACCAGAGAAATTGGGTGGACTGAACGGAGGTTCGTAACCAGGTCGACATCTTTTCGAATCGTCTTTGATGCCAATCATCAATTACAACTCCTCGTGTACCTAATCTGCAGGAGCGGTGTACATTTCTACCGAAGGCAATTTTCATTTAAGACGTTATTACCAGATGATTCCATCGTTTCAGCAGCGACACAGCTGTTTAAAAGACGTTGACTTGGCCAAAAATGTCCATTGCATGACAGTTTCGGATCTGGAAACGCAGAGGAACGTTCTCGACAATCAATTATCCATTCTCATCTCCAGCAACAATATACGACTGATAGTTATTGATTCTGTAACGGCGAATTTCCGCACCTTCGAAACAACCGAAATTCCAAATTTCCGTCAACGGGCTTTAGAAATTAGTCAGATGGGCATCCAACTAAAAGAGATAAGTGATAGGTTTAATGCGCCCGTGGTATGCGTGAATCAGGTCTCTGATAATTTCATTATCGACGAGACGTACGGGGAAGACGATAGCGACGCGCACTACGAGTATAATTATTACCAAAAACAATTGCTAATCGGAGATGGAACGAAGGTTCCTGCATTAGGATTGATGTGGTCAAGTGTCATAAATGCAAGGATAGTGCTTTCCAGGCCGAAGAGATTTTTGACGGAAGAGGGTAGTATCAATGATAATGGTCCGAGAACAATTGCGTTGATGATGGCGCCTCATGCTCCGAGACGTTTTGGCGAATATTATATCGATGGAAGCGGGGTACATGGGTTGGTTAATTAGCAAACAACGATTACTCATGTTAATAGATTAGTTCCCCGCGACAGGTAATCAATCGATCTCTCTTTTATACCCACACTATTTAAATAAAAATTAGAGGAACACGAAGATCGCAATGACTCGGACTTCCTTTAAAAGAAAAAATATGACACGCTCTGTGGTTCAAAAAATTATTATTTCAAACTTTTAGTGATATATGATGTACATGTACTTGGGAAAGAGCAATTCAAATATAAAGGGATGATTATGTGCGCTAATCTCATCTCATGACTATAAATACACTTCAATTATCGTTAAAACCATCTTTCTTTTTGTGTGCTAACCATTAAAAAAAAAAAAAAAAAAAAACAGTAATCTTTTTTCTGATGTATAAATATTTCTTTTGTTTTCCGCGAAAAAAATTTTTTCTTCCGACTAATTCATTTTTGTGTATAAATATATTATAACTCTGCACATTTTCTTTATACAAATTTCGTATTAGGTATTATGAATTTCCGTAAACGGACGTGATAGAACGAAGGTGACGATAAACGAGACGACAATAAGAAATCTCCAAATATGTGATTAAACTGTAATTAAGCGAATAATTAAAGACACCTAAAAAGCCTTAAATATACACACGCTTTCGGTACTTCCCTTTCTAGTTCATGATGATTGTTGCTGCATTGTCTGTTGAAAAAAAAAAAAAAAAGATCCATTAAGTCGCATTACGTTTGAAAGGAGGAAAACCATTTTTGGCATCAATTGGCGAAAATCCATACCCTATAGTTATTCCCCCGGTAGTTGTTGGAGTACCCCGCACGATAGCCACCATTACCACGACTGCCACGGTACCCTCTACCACCACCACCTCGATATCCACGACGACCGCCTCCGCGGTACCTTCCACCATCAATAGAAACTTGTCCAAAAGTTTCGAGGTTGAGACGCCTTTCCTCAGACTGCTTCTGTCTTCGTTCAGCCACGGATAGAACGCGACTACACAGCAAGAATGAGTGAGACCATTAATATCCCTCGTTTAAATTAAAAGTAAAGAAACTTATCTGAATCTCATTTAAGGATTGCGAAATTCTAACTCACCGGCCATCAGGCCCTTGTTGCTCTAATCGTTCTTTGGTCTCGCAGGAAATATTATCAAAGAAAGATTTGGCCTTATCATAATAGCTTTCAGAAGGGGGTATCAAGATATCTTCTTCCTCCTCTTCCGGTCCAGGTACAATACCATAAACTTCATTCTCCTCTTTAACCTCATGATTAGGAACTATTTTCTTTACAACTTCCTTGACAAGTTCATCCTTATTGAACTTTGCATTCGACAATTCGAAATCAAAATCTGATTGCGGAACAGTAATTCGGCTGCGATCATAATTTTGACTATAGCTTCTTCGGCTCCCACGACCTCTACGATTTGGTTGAACCAAGTGACCACCCATCCCAGGAAGCCGATTACTACTACTGAGGGTGGAACGGTTATTGCTCGCAGCTAATTTGTGTGCAAGGAATTGAAAGATTAGTCAAGTCGATCCACAAGATTCGCATGCTAAACAGGATTCATCTACTCGGGAGCCCAAATTAATCCGACGACGCATACTTTGTCTCTCTCCGTTAGTTTCCTTTGGGGTTACACTTAATTCACCGACTTTTTTGGTCAAGTTTTCTACGTCCACGGCCGTTGTCGGCGTGTCCACGACCGCATCATTTCTTGTGTTAGTTGATTGCGCAGAGGACCTGGAGCCAGTTCCCATCTTGGAGAATTTGAGCGTTGAGGCTTGCTTGTCCGTTTTGTGGTCTTCAACCTTGTCTGGTGTACCATGCTCTTTCTGTATTCAATAGGAATTGGTGTGAAACATGGACCATGGTGGAGTAGGTTAATCAAGTGTAAATTTTGCTGCCAAAATTGCAGACCTGTTGTTGTGACTTGGGCTGTTCAGCTTCTTTGGCAGTGTTCTCATTGAGGTTGTTATGCTGCCGTACGACAGGAAATGCATAGTTTTAACACAATATTCAAATTATCACAATAAAAAATAGCAGACGAAAGAAATAAGGACGAACATTTTTCACAACTTTTTTATGCTGGTTTTTAAATAGATGAAATAAGAAAATAAAAGATAAAAGGATCATTCGAGTTTATGAAATTGGTTCATAAAAACGCATGTCCTTTGTGATCTAAATTCACCAGAGAAAATTTTAATTTTCGCTAAAGAAAATACCTGCTGTTGGGGAACCGGAGGCTGCCAATATTGTTGCTGCTGTTGGAATGGGACGGCTGCCATCTGTTGGAGATAGAAGGGGTTCAGGGCAGCACCTGCAAAATTAGGTGGAGGTTGTACCCCTAGCGGCGGTGGGGGAGCGAATCCTTGGAAATTTGGTGGCCGCGGAGCAGTGGTCTGTGCGTGTGTACATATAATAAATTTGCACATTAGATCTCGATGATGCAATTGACATCAATTTTCCTTTTTCTTCTTGGCATCGTTCTGAACGATCAGAAGGAAGGCAACATGGAATTATAAACATCGCATTTTGCGCTTCAGACGATTATATTAAATGATTTCATCATAGGTTTAAGAACGACGAGGTGTCTTCGTTTGGTATTATCAAAACAAATCTATTTGAAGATTATCTTATTTTTACTATATTACACACGCATTATCATAATATTTTGTGATCCATATTACAAGATCTCACCCCAAGAATTGCAGGATCATTAGGAACTTGAGGTGCCATAGACTGTTGTTGAGCCGGGGTCTCGCATACGTGCAAATCTTTCACATCCGAACCACGAAAAACTATATATTCAAAGACATTGTCGGATGGAGGAATTTCGTCAGCCGGATTGCCACGACGACCTTCAGTTCCGTATGAACGAACTACAAAATTTGCGCACCAAAAAAAATAAAGAAAAAACAAACGTTATCTAAATAAATTCATTGAAGAAGAAACGGATGTATCTTGCGTAATGATCCCAACTAATTAAACAATCATTTCAAACTTATATCAGCAAAAAGTCATTTTTCGCCAACCTCAAAACCTCATTAACGTGAAAAAACAAACTACGATTCACACAAATAATAATAACAATAATACGAATGGGTTGACCGTGACACAAACCTTGCTCAAGCGCTACAGTCGAGTCGGCAGAATTGATACTATGCAGGATTCCCACATATCTTATGTCGCTCCGTGAAATCAAACTGATCTTGGATCCTATGTATCCAACACCACTCATCTTCGAAAACTTTGGGGTGGGCGAAGGTGAGATAAAATTAGAACAAATACTTATTAAAGATGGAATCGGTTACACCAGGATTTTATTAACTTTTTTATCACATGATTAAGCTTTTGTGAACATATATGGTTTACAACATCAAGCAATTATTGAAATTAAATTATATAATAGATATCAAAATAAAATTTCAAATATATAGTATAAAAATTTATTTCTTTTTACTAATTCTTTGATCACATATAAAAAAGATGTTTAAAAAAAGTTTTTATACTTCCTTACTAATAAAGTCTTAATACTTTCCTTAAAACAACTTGAGATATGATTTTAAGAGTCACTTTTATTCTTATCTTATTATTTATAAATCTCTTTACTCAAAAACTTGACTCCTAATGATCAAGAAATGTTAAGTAATACCTTTGATATCAATGGCAAGAAAGTTCTCAAAAAAAAAAAAGAACTGACTATAAAATATATGAAAGTCTTACTAATCTTTGAAATATAAAGTTTATAAAGGTTTTCTACAATAAAAAAGATTTATTTTCTTTCTTTTGATTATCTTGATTCTCTTAAAACTTCCACTTTCATAATTTTTTAAAGAATTTTGTCTATCTCAATTTGATCCTGAATTTTGGATAGCATAAATTCTTATAAAATATAATTGGCTAATATAAAATATATCAGTTTTTGAAATATAAATAAGTTTCTATTGATCACACTTATATGTCTTGACATATTATTAGTGATATACAATAAGAAAGAATATTCTAAAAAAAGTTTTTCTCTTCAATTATATATGTTCAACTTCTAAAAAACAATTATGATATTGAAAGGTAAGCAATAGATAGAAAAAAAATTCAATCACCATCTTTCATTAAATTCCTTAGATAATAAAAATATTTTTTTAAATAAAAATTAAGGTTTCCAAGTTTCTATTCTGGATAAACAAAGTTTTTGAAAAGATTTTTTTATTCTAATCAAGCAAACTCTTTTGTAATATGATACTGGCTTCAATAGTATTAAGTGAATCTATATATTAGTAAAAGGATAAATTTCTTAAATATTTTTTTTGAAATTACTTTAAAAAATAGTTAAGTTTTTCAAATATTATGAAACTTAGAGAATATTCTAATCAGGTAAACTCCTTTCAAGAGAAAATTGTAAAATGGAATAAAAATCTTTTGAATAGCTTTGAATTGTATTTCTTTTTTCTTTTTTTCTTAATATTATACTTTAGTAATTTATTATTTTTCAGAATAATCAATAATAATAAATTGTTAATAATAATCCTATTAATTGGAAATTTTAATTAAACTATTGGAAAGTATAATATTGTTTTCTAAATTTGAATTATAATATCTAGTTTAAATTTAGTTCAAACTAGTTTAATGGACTTTTTATATTTTTTAAGTAGTATAGTTTTTTAACTAATAATATACAATAATGAGTTAGTTACTTTATAAAAGTCTATAAACATCATATTATCTTTCAATATCTCAATAAAAATATATTATTGTGATATAATTATAATTTAAAAAAAATAAAAATTTAAATTTAAATATACAGTATATATACAGTATATATATATATTTTTTTAATCTATAGCCAAATCAATATAACTTATTTTTTTTTTTTTTTGTATACCCGTAGCCAGGCTAGATCATTAGTTTATTAATCAAATGAAGACAAAAGTACATTTTCA